GGAGTACAGGGCGGTCTGGGGAGATGACGGCGCAGTGGCCCGGGTCGCGGGGCAAGGGGTGACTGGCGCCGGCAGCCGTACCCCATTAAGTCCCGCAGTCCTGGTCCGAGGGGAGGACGCTCTGAAACGCGGGAACGCATTTGGAGGCTTGACAGACGTGTAAAGGACAGAGGACACGGTGACTTGGGGGCTACATTCCAGTAAACGTGCCTGACGCGGCGAGCATCCACTTCTTCCTGGCCCTGTACTCCTAAAACGCAAGCTCTAAAAATTCACATTAAACAGGCCTCTTTAGGAAGGGAAAAGGGGGTACAGACAACAATTAAGAGGGTATGTTTCCTCTTTAGAGACATTTTTTAAAAGTACCATTTTTAGCTGAGAGAAACTTTTAATTGTATTACAATTTTTACCTAACCCTCCACTCCTTCCTCCGCATGTTTTTCTTGCTTTTTCAGTCTGTTCCTGACAAACACCTTGTATGTGTACTTAGAAGAGAATCACAAAAACACCTTTAATCTTTAATTAAAATAATAACTACTTGAAAGATGTGAATCAGCCACCAAAGGACCTACTTTTCCTTTCCCAGCAGCCAAAGAAAAGCAATCTCCACTTAAAATATATATACATATTCGGGTCAAATATGCACAAACTGTCCTTTTTAGAGCCCCTTTTAGCGTGCAATAATCTATATGCAAGTACTTGAGAAAACAATTTAACTCAAAGTCAGATTTTTACATTTCACTCATTTGCAGACTCCCAGAATAATTTACTTTTACACCTTTATTAGATTTTTGAAGAAAACGTAGAATTACAGGAATCGTTTTTTAGCAAATCTTCTAAATGACTCGTTTAAAATTTTTTATTTAAGTAAAATATGTCTCTCTGCACTATGTGGACATAGGAACCCCCAACAGTCAAAATTGCTATTTAGATTAACCGGTTTTGGGATATATAAGTTATAGTAGGATACTTAGAAATTGAAGAATCTGTATAGGACAACCAGTTTAATTTGAAGAATACCTATTCTATCTAAATTAGCTTGGAATCACACTAATAAAGACCCAAATATCTGAATATTTTGAACAAAATATAGATTAGATGGTCTGAACAACTGCTTCAATTCCTCACAACACCCTATGTGTAAATACACATTTTAGAGAAGTTACCATGTTACTTTCATTTTCAATCCTGCAAATGTGTGATTAGACTACACTTATGTAAGGATTTTTGGTTCTAGGAAACAAATATTTGAATTAATCCCATAGAGACCCTGGTATTTATATGAAAATGTGGCTTTTCTACTCTTTTCAATTCTAAAGCTTTGTCTATCATACAGAGCTAAGTAGAAAACAATGACTACATTCGGACCCATAAAAATATCATGAGTTGTAGACCTAAATTATTGAGATACCTGCTAATTCACATTATATCTGTGTAAATACAACTAGAATACTAGGTCAAACAATTAAAGCAAATTATAGTTCAACTCAATCAATAGCTATGGAAGTTTTCTTTATTGATTGCTTGATGTGTAACAATAATTGGCATCTTTTTCACACATTACAAAAAATTATACTTGGCTCAGTATGCAATCTTTTAAGCATAGCCATATTATTTAACAGGAGAGAAAGGGAAAGAAAAAAAAAAAAAACTATTCTACCCAATACAGCATTTACAAATGCACAAAACATGCCACTTTGGCTTGTATATTGTCTAGATTTAAAAAAATCTCTTTTTAACATAAATAAGTTAGTATAATTTTTCAGTGTCTTTACAGAGTTATGTACACAGGTACACTTCAAATGGTTTGTTTCATACACATACACAGGCAATGTAGAAATACTGTTTAAAGATGTAGTATCCATTTCACTTATTCCACCAGTGTGCTTTCTCTACACACACTTTCCTGTCAAAACACCACTTTTCTTTAGGAAAATTAACAAATAGAATGAGAAGCTTAAAATTAAAAATTATTTCATTATTTTTTACATGAAGTTACTTAGAGATCTATAAAAATATCCAGAGATTTAGGATTATTTTGACTGTCCACATAGCACAAAGTGAAAAGGAGAGTAAGAAAAATTTTTAACAAATTAAAAAAATGTAGATGGTCAATTCTGATCATTCAGAACATTTTCCCTACATCCCAGATTTTTGTCCAGAATTATCTAAAGTGATTACCTAACTGCTGAATAACTGGTAAATTCCAATTCTAAGGGGGCCGGAGGACACTAAGTGGCAGTTTTGTTTGTTTGTTGATGCTTTAAAAAGCATTTACTGCTACATAACGGAATCATCAGAGCTCCCAAATAAGAATAACTTTTGTGTAAAAATAAATAGCAAATATTTGTAGCCAGTGTTCAAATTTCGATGATTTTAAAAATGAAGTACCAGTTTTCACTGAAAGGGGCATTACATCTTTAAAGAAGGTAATTCCAACCCTTCCCCAAAATTGCTTCTCTTCATGCAAGTCAAATTATTTTTTTTCTTGCTATAAATTGAAGCAAGCTCTTCATACCCTCCATGCCAATTCCTTACCCCCACCCTACCCTCCCTTCCCCAAAGTTTATGTGCTACATAAAAGGTAAAAACTATATACACAGGTAGTACAATGAAGCAAATAAGGAAAAACCTAATTGCACAATGCTACATCCAATGCTTTTAGAGGCAGATCATTTAAGAGTGCCTAAAATTTTAGTGTTATTGTGTTGTTGCTTTTCAGTGCTTAAACAGGATGTCCATTCCATGGAGTCAGCGATATGTATTTTAAATTTTTCATTTATATCTTCCTTGCTTCATCAAGCAGTGATGTATCTGATAAACAAGGAAACATACCCTTAATTCTGCAAAAAGAAACAAGAAGAAATAATTAGAGGAAAACACTACAGTAACATTATAAATAAAGTTATAGAAATTATTTTGTCACTATCTTAGTTAGAAATTACTGAGAAATAGGGAAAAAAAAACTATATACTAGAAGTTGGTGATTACATTCATCTACACCCAACATTCTTTTAACTGGATTTTCACTCTCCTCTGAGCTGTGTACTTTTGTCTAGAGCAGTGGTTCTTAACAGTGGGCAATTTTGCCCCCAGGGGACATTTGGCAATGTCTGGAGATAATTTTGGTTGTCACAACTTGGGGGGGAGGGGAGATGCTACTGGCATCCAGTGGGTAGAGGCCAGGGATGTTGCCAAACATTCCACAATGCACAGGGCAGCCCCCACAACAAAGAATTACCCAGCACAAAATGTCAACAGTGCTGAGGTTGAGAAATGCTGATCTAGAGAATCTGGGTAAAAGATAATGAGAAGGAAAATATATCAGAAAATTAAGAAGCTGTAACACAAGTAACAAAATTTTCAAAATATGAAAAAATATATAAAGGCCCTCCAAATGAAAATTCAATTAATATATTTTTTAAAAACTGAGAGCAAAATGTTCAAATTTCTTATTCATAGGCAGAATATACACGTAAATTTTTTTGAATAGACCCGTACTGGTATTTCTAGTATTCTTCAAACTGGCAATCTTTAAGCTGGCAATATTTACTAACAAATGACTATCTGTGCATGTCACAATGTGGTCAGATCAAAATTCAGTAATTCTAATTCACTGTGGCTCATCTAATGAGCTAGGACACAAGTCACAGCCCAAGAAGAGTTGTAGGTGTTAAGGTTGCTTAAGGAAAAATTTTCATTCCATTTTTCAACTTCCTTTAGAGCTATAATATAGAGGTTTTATGGCACTGTTTCGTATAAGCTCTAAAAAAACATATATATACATACACATATTTGGAGAAGTCATATATTTGACAATATAATGATTTAAAAACACAACAAACCTGAACCCCATTTTAATTGCTCTTCTTTATTTTAAAATTTTTATAAACAATGATTTAAAAAATTAATATCAACTCTATTATGATCTTTTATATGCTAGGCTCTGATTATGTTTTTAGAAGGAAAAAAAAAAAAGAGGTCACAGTCCTTGTTTTTAAGAGGCTTGTAAACTATTAGAATATATGTAATTTGATTATTACAAGTAGCCAATCCATGTAACTTGGGGGCTATTCAAATTAGCTATTCACACTGATTAGAATCTATTAAATGGAATAATCTCCACTTCTCTTGTGCCTGGCAGACTTACCCTCGGCCAGTCCCGATCTATCCATTTCCCCTACAAATACCTAAATTGTCCTATTATAGCATAATTTGTATACACACGCTGACGTGTTCCTGGATTGCTTACTCTGACAGTTAATTTAACTTCAGCTTTGCAACTTTGGAATTATCAGAAATTCCAAAGGAATCTTAGTATTTTTGAGCTTTCACTTTGGATTTTTTAAAAGCATGGAGGTTCCTTCTCTCCCCCAAATTTATCAGAAATAGGAAAGTGAGAGTCAATGACAAACATAAAAGAATACAATATACCACCTACTCACATTTCCAACCACTTGGTCACACAAACATGAGCTATTTGTACCTAACTTTGCCCTCCAATTTGAAATTTAAACATTTATTGGCCATTTTTCTATGTATGGTCTCAAAATCTGTAACAGACTCAACTTGAACCTCTGGAAAATGAAACCTCATGAAATGGTAATGAGGCTCACCCCAGGTCTTGTTCAGATGGGGAAAGAAACCTATTGTTCCTGGCAGTTTTGGTGGGACTCACAAGGAAATGACCTTCCCACTGATGGGGCCCTTGGTAAGGAGTCCTTGCCTAGGGTACCTGCTCCAGCTGTGTAGTGTACAAGGGAAAACGATCTCAAAAAGTACAAATTTTGAAGAATCACAGTATCTTCACAGTGACTTCCAGCCTTCCCCATTCCTACTTTTTTGACCTCACAAAATATAAACAAAACAAACACCCACAATCTCCTAATCTGCCCGCAACCAAGTAAGATCAGGTATCTTGGGGTTTTCAGGCCCACGGGTTCCTGCAGCCCAGTTTGGGTGTAAGTTGTTTGCTCTTAATAAGCAACCCACCAAGCGGTTTACGTTTGACGTCTTCTGAGGCCAGGCTTCTTGGGTGTCTGCTCCACTGAACCAGCGTTCGGGGAACCTTCTGAAACATTTTCTTCTGTTCTGTTGGCTCTTTTGTTTTGAGTAGAGGAATCTAAGGACAAGGAAAAATTGGAAGAAAAAAAATCTTTATTAGAAAAAACAATGGCTCACAGAAGTTGGCTCTATAGTCAGGGGATGAAAAACCCACACCTCCACCCACAATCCTAGATCCATCATCACCAATGCCCTTTAAGTGTACAACATCAGATTGTTTTCACATAACAGAAAGTGTATTCTACGCCCCTAATCTCTCTCTCCATAGCCCGGAGGCAGGCCGATGATGAGCATCTCAACGTTGTCACATAACTATGGCAGGCTAGCGAGGGGAAACTGCGATGTTTCAAGTTAGGGAAAATAGCAGATATTAGCACCTCTGGCTTCCGGTTTAAAAATCATAAATACACAAGCCGTCAGCAGGTAGCGTACAAAACCTAGGATTAATAAAGTTCGCTCCCAAAAGCTAAATCAGAATACGCTGAAAACAAAAGGTAAGGTTAAGACCGTGAAGCAAGCAAAGCCGTGCTCCCAGATAGGCATACAGGTTTTTCAAAAGGTCATTACCATCTGTTGCAGGTCGCTTCCTTATCCCAGTGCACTGCTCCGATAACCCCGTCTGGCTGTCTGATGTATCAGTCTTTTGGTCTACCAAATGTGTGTCCTCTGAGTTAGCCTGAGACCCAATTAAAGGCAGCGCCTGGCGGTTCCCGCTGACATCCTGGCTCTCCTGCGCAGGCACTTTCCAGGCGCCTTTGGGTGGCCGCGGGGGTCTGTAGTAAAATTCGGGCAAGCTGCCCTTTTCCATCTCCTGCCACTCGTATTTCCCCTCCAGGGGCTTGTGATTCTGAAAATCAAAATTCCACTTGCGCTGGCTGGCCTCTTCCATGTCTCTGCAGTGCTTCTCCAAGTCTCTAGTTAACTCTTCGTGGTTCACCGGGCCGAAGAGGTTTCTACAGGCGGAGGGTTTAGGGTACTCCGCCTGTCTGGCGTCCATCCGCTCCAGGCTCGGGCTCCCGTTAGACACACGCACGTTTGACATCTTCCTCCCGAGTCTTTACTACCGCCTGTCTCGCTCTCTCAAAAAACAAAACCGAACAAAACAAAACGCCCCGACCCAACCCAGCCCAGCCCCCTTTTATAAGCTCTGCGATTGCCGTCGGAGCCAAGAGAAACAAACACCAACAAGTAACTGCCCGAGCTTCAGGAGCGCAGTGGATCTGGGGGAGGGAGTAAGGGGAAGCCCCGGAGAGGCAGCGGAAAGTCTCCGCAGATCAAGTGTACCGGCGAGCTGGAGGGCGGGGAGGGGAGGGGAGAAAGGAGGAGGGGGTGGAAAACCCAGTCCAAGTCCAGGCTGGTGCTAGCCCGCGGCTCCCGGGAACCCAGCCGTTCTCCAAACCTTGCCGGCGTCACAGTAGCGGAGTGAAGACAAAGTGGGGAGAGGGATAGGGGAGAAAAACACCCCGAAAAGGCGAGCCCCCTTTTTTTAGTTGCCCAATATGGCGGTGGAAGGGAGGCTGACGAAGAAGAAAATGATTGACACTGCAAGTCTATTTAAACAGAGGAGGAGATCCATTGGTTGCGGCGCCGGGAGCCGCCCAGCCGAGGCTGGCGAGCGCGGCCTTAAGGTGGCCCTGGTGCGGTTCGGACGCTCCTCCGCCTCCCGAGCGCGCCGACTCTGAGAGCGCAACAAGGAGATTGGCTGGTTGCGTGATTGGTGGAGGTGTACTTGCTGCCAACAAACCTGCTCTGGCTGGCATCGGAGAAATTAAAAATAAGACAAACAAACTAGCCAAACGGCCGGGAAGCTGGGGAGGGGCCTCTGCTGCGGGCCAGGCGGGGCCTTGGGTCCTGGTCTCGGCGCTACACTGGCTGGTGCGCTCGCTTGTAAGCCCAGACCTCTGGCTCCGGGCCTGTGAAATGCAGGGGCCGGACCAGTTGATCTGTAATGTTGCTTACATCCCAAAATATTGAGCTTCGGTGGCGATCTTGTTTTCCCTGCACTGGCGGAACCAGGGGCGAGGGGAGTGGAGGGCGGAGGCAGATGGTGGAAGTTTAGTCTTCTGCTGGGCTCTCACCAGTCGCCCCCACCTCACGCTCTGCGGAGAAGCCCAGGAAACCTTTGATGAGGGTCTAGGACCCCCATTGCCTGAGTGCCACAGAGGGATGGGCAACGGTTAGCTCAGACTTAACTCAGAATTTTCAACTATCCTAGGGGAGAGAGGGAGCTTAGGGAAGAAGCCAAGGTTAATGTCTTTCTATAAAGTAGCCGCGGGGGATGGGGGTGGTGGTGGTGGTGGTAAGCGCACCCTTAATAATGTATTCTGAACCCAAGCTGTCCCCGCAATAAAAACGAAAGGATTTCAATATCAAAAGCTCTACCACTCTCCCAAGTCTTTTTAACTTTGTAGCTGTTTGAGATACAGTTAGTTTTTGAAAAGCGAGGTTACACCCTTGGCCCAGGTTCTTGCTTCCCAAGTACAGTTAAGGCCACTGACATAGACTACGTGTGGGAACACGCCTCCTTCTCTGTAGGCTTTTCAATTCTTTCACGGGTTATAGTAGTTTCCTCTACCTGAGTCCAGTCGCCAAATACAACAGCTCCTTCCTTCCTCCACCTTTCTCTCTCACCGGGTTCTCTCACCGGGTAGCTCCAACTCACCCAGAGCTGCGTTCAAGATGCAAGTGACTGCGTTTAGAGGACTGCAGGCTGTTGAAAGGTGAAAATACTGCCCTAAGGATCAAAGTCTAAGTTATGAAGTGATTTATAAAACCACCAGAACCATGTCCTCATGCCTGACTTGATTAGGGCATTTCTCCTCTCCCCTTTGCAACTTGAAACATACCAATCAGTTTGGTCTTGAAGGTGGTGGTGGAAGTTAAAACAGGGTGAGCAGGGCTGTCATATCTGGGACATAATTCAGTAGGTCTTTAACTGCCTCCCTACTCCCGCTCCTAATACAAATAATCTTCTTTGGATCAAAGTTAATAAATTTTACTGGATTAACCTCCAGTTCTAATATTACACAGCAGCAATGTTTTCTTAAGCACCTATGCTATAGATTAGTTTGATTTTTAACTTGCTTTCACAGCTACATCTTATTTGTCCACTGTATACACTCTGGAATGTTAGAAGGGATCTTGAGGACCCTATGGTTCAACCTCCTCTTTTTACCACGGAGGAAATTGAGGCTCAGCTAAGTTTCCTGTCCAAGAGACACAGTTAGTAGCACAGCCAGGACTAGAGGCAGGTCTCCTATCTCACAATCTGGTTCATTTTCTGTTCCTTTCCTTCCTGATGGTCCCAACTGGTTCCAGTTTTTGTCTGGGTTCGCTTGTGCTATAGTCTGCAGGTCTTCCTTTCCTACTAGTTATTCAAAATGGCTTCTTCCCAGCCCCTGGACTGCCTGCAGATGTTTCCTTGGTGTGGCATGTGGTCAATGATAATTAAACGTTGCTATCACTAGCCTTTGGTATCACTATCAACTAATTCGACAAAAATGCTGATTCCAAAAGGACATGGATGGTATCCAGAGAGCAGTGAGGGAGGCAGTGCCCAGAGTCAAAGTCAGGGCTTTCTACCTGGCTGATAGAAAAGAGTTCACCAGGGATGGCAGCAGGAAGTCTCATCCTCTTTAATTTTCTACATTTAATGCCTCAATTTGCTGGATTAGGAAAGTTAGGATAGGTCCCACTACCTTAATTTATATCCTGTTGTTGTTGTTATATGCCATCAAGTCGGACCCGAATCATAGCGACCCCTCCTTGGGTTTCCAAGGCAGTATCACTACAGAAGTAGATTGCCTCATCCTGAAATTAGGTAATTCTTCCCCCGATATTTAAACAATTACCAGACTGCAGAGAAATTTTATATTATGTATGCCTATACATGAATAATATACAAACTACTACATATATGAATATGGAGAAATTCTAGAATAGTAGCTTGCACAGAAATTTGATTTTATTCATGGAATTATCATCTTATACAAAAGTAAAAATGAATACTTTTAACCCCTACACTGAATCTTCAGTTATCATGTAGGAGCACCATTTTGTTGCTTTGTAAATCTTGAGAAATAAACAAATCACTATCAAGCCACCTTAAGAAGTCTGGCTGCCAGCAGAAAGTCTGTGCTTACATTACCTTGCTATGATCTAAAGTGTTTTGTTTACAGTCAAGGCACTGGAGATCTGTACAGCAAATAATGAGAAGGCAGGCGTCTGCTGTAGTATCACCGAAGCGTGAAAAAAATACTATGGAGTCCCCGAGGGAAGAGAGAACATGCAGATCAGAGCGCCACCCTCTCACAGAAAATGGGTAACTGCAAAAGACGATGCCAGGGAGAAGTTTTTCAGATAAACAGTGCAAAAGCAGAGCCTGAGTAGAGGACAGACAGTTTCACTCGCACTGCTCTGAAATAGGCTCTGCTTCTGCAAGACACAGAATCCTGTCCTGTGTGATGTTTCTGTTGTTGTTTTCACTTCTGGTGGTTTCCTAGTTAGAGCTGAGAAGTGTTCCATAGGCCGTCCCAGCTGTCTATGTTTGTAGCATGCTGAAAAGAGAGGCAAAGATCCAAATAACTTAAAAGAAAATACCTGTATAGTACAAAGTGTACAAGTGAGGTGGAGGGCGAGTAGCCTGTGTTAGCCCTACTCCCAGATGGAGTCCTCTCACAGGGACAATATGCAGCACCAATTGTTTCCCTGATGGTGTTTGTTTCCTTGCCCAGTTGCCCTTTCCACCACAAATACACAATTTTAATCTTTCATCAAGGATGTTTATAATGAAGCAGCTTTCACTCAACTTCACCATTCCCCTAGATTTACATATTTTTAAAGAATCTGGAAATTTCACAATCATCTGTTTCTTTAATCTCTTCATTCAATTTAACAAATATTTATGGAACACCTTTTATTAATTTATTCATTCTTTCTTTCAACAAATGTTTTTTGAGTGCCTACTTGTAATGGTGGGAGCTCTGGTAGCATAGTGGCTAAGGCATTTGACTGCTAACCAGAAGGCTGGCAGTTCAAACCCACCAGCCACTCCTCGGAAGGAAGATGGGGCAATCTACTTCCGTAGTAATACTGCCTCGGAAACCCAAGGAGGGGTCGCTATGAGACGGTCCGACTTGACGGCACATAACAACAACAACAACTTGTAATAGTCAATGTTCTATGTCAATTTAGCTAGGCCATGATTTGAGTTTTATGTAATTATCCTCCATTTTGTGATTTCATGTAGAGGGAGTTTTCTTGAGGGTATGGCCTACATCCAATACATATGGATGTTCTGGCCACACTTGCGCGCTCTCTCTCTCTCTCCCCTGCATCTGACTCATCATTAGCTGACTCTGGTTCTTGGGATATGAGCCAGCAGCCTGCTGCCTGACCTGCAGATTTGGGATTTGCCAGCTCCTACAACCATGTGAAGGGAGCTCTGGTAGCATAGTGCCTAAGGCACTTGACTGCTAACCAGAAGGCTGGTGGTTCAAACCCACCAGCCACTCCTCAGAAGATGGGACAATCTACTTCCATAGTGATACTGCCTTGGAAACCCAAAGAGGGGTCGCTATGAGTCGGGTCCAACTCAACGGCCCATAACAACAACAACCATGTGAATCAGAAGCCTCCAGCCTGACGCCTGACCCATGGATTTGGGACTTGGCAGCCTTGACAAGCCACTCCTCGGAAGGAAGATGAGGCAATCTACTTCCGTAGTGATACTGCCTCGGAAACCCAAGGAGGGGTTGCTATGAGTCAGGTCATACTAGACAGCACATAACAACAACAACATACATACACTTCACTGGTTTTGCTCCTCTGGAGAACCCAATCTAAGACATTTGGTATAGAGAGTAGTTCTAGAGGAACAGAATTATAAGGATGAGCTTTCTGAATTTGTTCTCAAGTCTGGCTAGTCTTAAAGGTCTTGATGAAGACCTCCAGTAGTAAAGAAGACACTGCTAATCCTTGATGTGAAGTGACAATAGAAATATGCAAAATATCACAACCACTGGATCAAATATTTGTGAAAGACAAGGCTCTGGATGATTATATATTTGATATTTTTTTACAATTTTGTCATACTAAGAAGTATAAGGACTCTGGTTGGTTGGTCCTACTTTTGCTGTTGTTGTTGCTATGTGCTGTCTAGTCAAACCTGACTCATAGTGACCCCTCCTTGGGTTTCCAAGGCAGTATCACTATGGAAGTAGATTGGCCAACCTTCCTTTCAAGGAGCAGCTGATGGGTCAAAGTCATAAAAGAAAGGGAGGAATGCAAAGTCATAAAAGAAAGGGAGGAATGCAAAGCTTCAGAGTCACAACTCAAGCACCACCTACAAGATCTAAAAATTGCCACTTGTGCCTTGAAAGAAAGCCTTATATCTTTATAGTAACAGAGGTGATATGCTAAAAACTAAACCCAGACTCTTATCGTAAAAGTGCCTGAATTACAGTGCCAATGGAATTTCCAACCTTGAATGGTGTCTGAAATTAAAATGAGTACATTGGTTGGAAAGAAG